CAATTGCTGACTCCCCTCTTTTTTCTCTCTACCACCGCCGCCGCCTCGTTTCTCTCCACCGTTGCCCTAATAAGTTGAATCTGTCTCTTAGTTTTCGCCATTTCCATTCATTAAATCTACTATTATGCAGAGTGGTTTCCGCCATTTCCATTTTTTAAATCCACTATTTGTGCAGAGTAGATTTCGCATTTTTATTTACTAAATGCACTATTGACATTAATATTTAAAGTAGACTACGTTAATTTCATAATGGTTTTCGATAATTTTCAAATAATTCTTACTTTTAGTTAATTGTTTCAAATTCTTGCTTCCAAGGATTACTGGTTTTTTTAAAAAAAAATTAAGTAAATAGTGGATTTCAATTTTAGTAAATTTCATTTTTTCAGGAAGACGATAGATAGGAGCCGTTGTCGAGTATTTCCCACCGCTGCGAGATCTGAGAAAATGTAAGGGAATATTTTTTATTTGTTTTTTATTTGTTTTGAATATCGTGTGTTTGTGGTTTGATCAATCATTTGAGTATGCCGCCGGTCCTGAGTTCTGAGGTAAAAGTAACTTTCTCCCCAGTCTTCTGTCTCTTCTCGATCTTAGTCTTTTCTGGTGTAAAATTCAGTTGCAGCAAAAAAAGTCGATGAATGTTGAAGAAGATGCGCAAACAACAGGCTAATTGGAGAAAATCAGCTATGTATTCATATATACTCATATATAGTCCTATGGAGTAATATATATATATATATATATATATATATATATATATATATATATATATATATATATATATATATATATATATATATATATATATATATATATATATATATATATATATATTTATATATATATATATATATGTATACATGTATACTTGTATAACTATATTCATATATTAAAGAAATAGTGGGATATGATGATTGGCATCTTCACATATATAGAAATCTAGACTTAGATAACTTGTTGTGTCTGTGCTCCACTATATATGCGTAAATGTAACTTGACAGGTGAAAATGCAGAGGGCGGAGATATGATGCGAGTATATGTGTCTACATGCATATACATATATATATATCATATAT